CAGACAGACAGACAGACAGAGACATGACAGGACAGCGGCGGCCGGCCCAGAGGATGAAGCTGCTTCGGATCCGGAATCTACCAGCGGCAGCAGCAGCTCTGACTCGTCATCTTCATCACGTAGCAGTGGCAGCTCTTCTTCTGACAGCTCTGAGGTAGAAACTACATTACTACCATAGAGCTCCTTTTGTTGAATATACTGTATAACACGAGGTTTTATTCAAGAAAAGGAAGAGGAAGTAATAACAAAGCTCTACCCCCTGGGTGTTTGCTGCGAAGCATCCAGCTGCCAGCTGGACGGTCGATTCATCGCCTAACTCCTGTTGCCTGCCTCGAAAATGCATTCGGAAAGCAGGAAGCAGTTTGTGTCTGTGCCGGGGTCAGAGATAGAACTTCAAGTAGTCCTTCACAGTGATTGCGTTGAAGCACTGCAGCAGCAAGCGAGGGTTCTGGCAAAGCTCATGCGATGTTGCTGCGCAGCTTGGAAGCGGGCAGTCATGTTGCTTCCTGCCAGGCTCGAAGCGAGAGAAGACACACAGGCTTCTGGGTATGTGTCTTGTGTCAATCGTGAATCGCGGTGGTTCGGGATTAGGGGTGCTTGTGCTCTTGCCGTAGGTCTTGCAGGAGGATCTCAGTTGAGTGAAGTGCAGTGCTGTACAAGCGATCAATCAAATATGATTATTGTATTCTCTCATCTCTGCAGCAAACACCCAAACAAGCAGTGGCAGTCGCAAGTCCTGTGAGTGAGACCCGTGGTTCTTTCCCATCGATCCCATAACTTGCCAGGTGAGTGGAAGCTTTGATCCTTCAAAGGCCTGGGCCTCTGCTATGTGGTGTTTTGCGGTGTATAAGTTAAGGAGCCGGTTGCATATATTGAAGGATTCTAGGAGGCGCTATAAGGATATTAAGGATGAGGGTCGTGCGTGGGTCGGGTTTTGATCTACTCAGCAATCGCAGAAGTCTTCTTTTGGAGCCATGGAAACCCGGCTGATGGGGTTAGGGTTCGCTTATTCCCGAAAGCATCGCGAAGGGTTCTTCCGTGCGGAGCCCCGCAGAGAAAATACATAGAGAATACATGGGGTCAAGTACACTTGACTTTACCACACTTGACTCTACGACACTTAGCTTTACCACACTTGACTCT